TAGTACGCGGAGTATCTGGGAGCTGGACGATGAGAACTGGCGACTTTGTAGTACAACTTTAGTACGCGGAGTATCTGTGGAGCTGGAAGCTGAGAACTGGCGACTTTGTAGTACAACTTTAGTACGCGGAGCAATCTGTAGAGCTGGAAGCTGAGAACTGGCGACATTGTAGTACAACTTTAGTACGCGGAGTATCTGGCAAGCTGGACGATGAGAACTGGCGACTTTGTAGTACAACTTCAGTACGCGGAGCAATCTGTGCAGCTAGAAGCTGAGAACTGGCGACTTCGTAGTACAACTTTAGTACACGGAGTATCTGGCGAGCTGGACGAGGAGAACTGGCGACTTTGTAGTACAACTTTACTACGCGGAGTATCTGTGGAGCTGGATGGTGAGAACTGGCGACTTTCTAGTACAACTTTAGTACGCGGAGCAATCTGTAGAGCTGGAAGCTGAGAACTGGCGACTTTGTAGTACAACTTTAGTACGCGGAGTATCTGTGGAGCTGGATGGTGAGAACTGGCGACTTTCTAGTACAACTTTAGTACGCGGAGCAATCTGTAGAGCTGGAAGCTGAGAACTGGCGACTTTGTAGTGCAACTTCAGTACGCGGAGCAATCTGTGCAGCTAGAAGCTGAGAACTGGCGACTGTGTAGTACAACTGCAGTACGCGGAGCATCTGGGGAGCTGGAAGATGAGAACTGACTGGCGACTTTCTAGTACAACTTTAGCACGCGGAACGACCTGTGGAGCTGGAAGCTGAGAACTGGCCACTTTGTAGTACAAGTGTAGTACGCGGAGGAGTCATTTGTCGGTGCTGAGTCAGCTCTCGCTGCTGTGAGTCATCTCTCGCTGCTCATTTATCTCTCGCTGCTGAGTCAGCTCTCGCTATAGCCATCTCTCGCGGCTGAGTCATCTCTCGCTGCTGAGACATCTCTCGCGGCGTGCAGGTTTGGCACAGTTCATACTGATAGTATTTGGTTGCATTTATGCAGGACAGGACACTCAACTGCTGGTCAATACACCACTCATCATACACCACTCGTCATACACCCCTCTTGTCGTGGCAAAGATACAACCCAGTACGCTGTTGTGAGCTGCTGATCCTGCAGGGGGCACAAGTCCGGAGCGCGTGCGTTTGACTGGAGGACGCTCATGTTGGAGAGAACGTGGACACTCCTATAGGTCAATTTGTTCTTATATGAAACTTCCGCCGCCGGCTTGCCCGGGAACTACTTGTAGAAATGGGTGGGAAAAAGAAAGCCAAAGCTTCCCTGGCCTTGGGACCGTGAGACTGTTTGGGGAGTGATTTTACCAACGGGAGCAGAGCCGTCGTTACCCTCAATGGCCCATACGTGTGCCTGAGTCGACAAGTCAGGACCCAGCGCAAAGAGCATGTGAATGCTGAGCGGACATAGACGGCCTTGGTCAAAAAGGCGTTGACCTGGAGTTCTGGGCAGCAGTTCCAAGCTACATTTCCAAGAAGCAAACGGAAGATTGGCTGATTTCAAGGGAAGCATGATGCCCATTGGTCCCCAACACACGTCGCCACCACAGATTCAGATGGGCCTGTGATAGAGGCAATTCCCGTAGCGAGTGTTCATCTACTCATTATGAATTCCTTTAGGCGCAAGTTTGCCTTTTCCTTTAATAGGTATGGCTGGAAGATTTTGGAAGTATATGTTCAAAATATTTTTCTCCTATTAATTAGGCTCGTTCAAGAATCTCTCTCACGGTGCAACCCACTTCAACCCACATCCGCTCGTCCAGTTCGAGCTATTGCTCCGCTTGGTTGTGGGACTGTGAGAGCGGGTAGGGTACGCTTGCTTCAGTTCCAGGCGTCTCTCAGCGGTTCGCAGCGGTTCTCAGCAGCCAAAAATCTCGACCGTGATATTGCTTGGAGATGAGAAAGCCTTGACCATCTGACCAGAAGGGTAAGTTTTCTGAATCTACTTGTATGCACTGGTTTCCGTGTGCTTGGTCCAGACCTGGATTTTTTTTGTGCCGTACTAAAGCTGGGATTGATTGATTTCGGACGAAAGCACAGAGCCTGTCAGCTGCCAAAGTGGGAGGCAAGTTTCATGGTTTGTGGCGATGAACTGTGCCAGCGGAGAATGCATGGGGCATGCGGAGCCTTCTTGCTGTTGATGGTGGTGTTCCTCTTTTCCTTGACATGGGGGCTCTGATGGAGGTATGGGGAGATCTGCTTCACTTGGGGAGGAACCTTGCCTCTTGTTATCTCCTGAGTTTTGGGGTTCGTCCACCTGGCTCTCTTTAGTGCACGGGACTGGTCGGCCATATCCACAAGTGAACGAGGGCAGGCCACTGGCGCAAATCGTTTGCAACCCCCTGAACATCAGGTGTTTCAGTGCTTTGGCTTCCACAAGCACCGTATGATCGCCTGAAGCTTTGAGCGGATCCAGCATACAGGGCCCAAGGCTGACGAGTTTGTGGAATCCTTGAGATCACATGGATTCTGCCTTTAGCCACCTTTTTTTTCAACAATGTTCCCAGATCATGCCTGCGAACGAAATTCAAGATTGAAATCCTTAGACATTAGACATCCTTAGACGTCCATATCACCATATCACTGTTTGTGTTAATAACTATATCCCATAATATGTGTGTTGCCCGTTTAACTCTGATTGAAGCTTTAGCCATTCGGATTCTTCACTCCTTCACCGTTTCCTCTGTTCCGCCCGAATCGGTCGCCTCGCGGTGTCCATCCGCGTCCTTCCCGGTCCGTCATGGGCCGTGGAGCGAGAGTGAGCGCTCACTCCGGAGCTGTTAAGGAGAGGAGAGCTGTAGCCCAGGCTGAGGGAGGCCATTGTCATTGGGGTACATCCTCACATATCCTGAAGATCGGAACGTGTGTGGTGGCTACAGCACTTTCAAGTTCGATCATTTGTGTTGTTGAAGCTCAAAACACGCGGGAGGTTGTTGGGTTCTGCTGCTACTGATTCCTGCCAGATGCGTAAGGCCGTTGAAGTAGCATCCCCAGTTTACATGAACATGGGTTGTTTGCAGCTCTTCAGCGACTATACAGATGATCCATTTGCCGCTTGGGTGGCAGGCAGTAGCAAACAGGACTTAACTTGTCATGAAGAATGTCACAAGACAGAGGCATCATGAGTAATTAGATGGATCATCGTTGCAAGTACTGCCAAAATAGACGGACTCCGGACTTCACGTCAAAGAGATACAGTGGGTTTTTTGATTGTCTGAAAGTGATCATGTTTGTGCAATTGGTTTCCCGGAAGACCAATCCTCCAAATTGTTTTTGCAATCCGTGCACATGTGGGGAGGAGAAGCCAAAGGCTAAGCCTCGCACCAGGCAGGAGAAGCCGAATTTGAAGCACATCCCAAATTTGTAGGAACACCTGGCAAAAGCAGGATGCATTTGTGTTCAGATGTGCTTACTTAGACCACTGGTTTTGGTTCCATCCAAATGTTTTGGTGGAAAACCATTGGTTCCAATATCCAGAAATGTACTTGAAAGCTTTAGGAAGGATGTTTGGAGGATCACACCGTGGAGACTTGGAATCCATTGATCCTTTGTTCAAAGTTCAAAGGGTATCGTGCAGAAGTAAGTTGAGATGAAAGGTTGCATTTTGGGACCTTCACTCAGTGCTTGTTTGGGTTTCGATATGTTTTGACTGGAAATCCATGATTGGTACGATGAGATTTGCTATCCTGAGTCAGCCGGGTCGCTGTTGCTACTTAGGAACATGTCTCGAGACAGACGCAATAGAAAGGATGTGGACCAGTGCCAAACACCTGAAAACATTTGGATTTGCTTTTTGTATGTTCCTTTCACATCACGTTTCTCGCGACGCCGCGTCACTTTTGTTCTTCACGTCAGGCCCAAACGCAAGGAAAAGACCAAAGGCCAAGAAAGGACCTGTTTCACTGACGGGCAGACAGACAAGCCTGCCATTGGTTTTTGGAACATTGGGGATCAACCAAGTTTTGCATTGGAGGACATTAAATACATTTTGTTTTTTCGTTTTTTTTCAGCTACTGTATCAGCTTCTACAGTAAGCAGTCTTCTTCAGCTTCCAAGGAAAGAGGACCACGGCCGCGACCGCTGGTTCTTCAGGACTGCTTCCGTGTCGACCGCTGGTCGTCCAGCGGTCGTGGGCGGCAGCCCGGAGCGCCGGCGCCGGCGAGGCCGTGTGGGAGCGCGCTGGAGCGAAGGTCCTTAGAACGTCGTAGCCTGGGAAGAAAGAACTTGGTGCTCAGAAGAAAAGACAGTCAGGGCGTTTATTTTACTCTGTTTGAGAGGACAACACCTTGGAAGGATGATAAGAAAGTTAGAGGTCATTTTGTTTTTGCTTTGAGAGGACAACACACACACACACACCTTGGAACCTTGGAAGGATGATGAAGGATGTGTTGGCACAAGAAGAAAGCATCCGCCGGGTGTTCGCTGAGTTTGTCTGACCTGAACAGCCAGTTGGGTTGGCAAACAATGTTGTGGTTCACAGGCGCATTTGACTCCACGAATTCCAATCACTATGTTGTCCTGCTGTGGAAGGAAGACATCCTGCGCCAGACACCCCAAAATTGGTCCCCAAATGCAGTACATATACATCCTGGATCATTCTCCACTTGGAGTGGTACAGGTTTTCTTCCAGGCAACAGTACCCTGAAGGGCCAGTCTTAGCAGTTCTTATGCAAGGCAATTTTCTGAGAGGGTCCCGTCCCTGTTGCATGAATGAATGAATGAATGAGGAAGATGGCAAAGTTCTGCCATTCCTGCCGGGCGAACTTGCGCAACCCCCCCCGGGTCAAATGTGGCCTTTTCCGCTGGTCAGGCCGTCGAAAGCCAGACATGGAGGAGCTCCTAAGGCTCCTACAGCAATCGCAAGGAGTTACTTCTTAATAGGTCAATCTATGTCAATCTAGAAAGCCACTTGGTCGCTAGTATTGGTTCTACAAAGTATGTTGCTTCGTTGGAAAGCAATTAATCTACAACCAAACCAGAACTCCGAGTTGAATCAGCAGAAATCTCCTTTCTCTGCATCAACATCTCCCACATGTTGGGGAAACCACATCAACAGACCCGCCACCAAGCTATATGTTGTATAAAATATAATACATAGCATGTGAGTAGATTTGATTTGGATTTGTTGTTGCTCCAAATGGTCAAGAGTCTCAAATCAGGCATTTGAGGGACCAACGACATGTTTAGAGCATCTAGGCAATCAATGAGGGCCGAGAGATTTATCCTGACTTGACATGTTTGTGTTTTGAGCAGAACCACCGTGCTACGACCTTCTTCTAAGGAGTGGGTAATTGCATGGATTGATCCAAAAGCCATGCTGCTAAAGGTCCAAAAGCTATGTTGAGACATGTAGCGGGAGCTGGTAGCTTGGTGGGTGTGAAAGGGTGACAGTCACAGTCAAGTTTGTGTATCCTACAGGGGAATTCATCCTTTATATATACACACATAGCTTTGCGTCCATCAGTATTTCGTTTATACAATTCATGCCTTTTGTTGCTCTCTCACAATACCTTTCGCTTGGACCTCATTCCTATTTTACACGGATGCTTTATGCGCCAAGGCAATGTTGCCAATTGTTTTTGTTTGTTGGGGTGTTCCAGGAGCCAAACCCAGGTACTTGCTGTTCTGCGTTTTGCCTTTCCCGCAGGCAAACAGGCGGCGGCATCCGACGCTACTTAGTTTGTGACTTGACTGATATTCGGGGATCTTGGTTCCCAAGGAGCAGTGCTTGTTGTCTTGATTGGACCTAGGGGAGAGGTTATAGCCTGCTTATGTTGGTTCTAGCCCAGGAGGCTGTTGATCAAGCAGGTGTGAATTTGGCGGTCTACGCTTGGGCACCAACAAGTAGCCAAGTGATTGCTCACTATCACCTATACAATCATGGTGAAGATTTGTATCCCTTTACAGACTGTGTTCCGTAGCTTCTTGACAGATTGACCCACACGCCAAGAATCTCGACCCTCAACTGGGTGGTTGCGCACGTCTCATCCCAGTTTGCACAGGACGCAAGTCAGAAGTGCCTACAGAGCGCCAACCTGTCTCGCAGAATCGCTTCGAAGTTGCCTGGCTTTTTTGGAGCCGTTGAAGTCGTTGGAGACCATCCATTAGGGACGTGCGCGTCAGTGGTTGTCCCGTGCCACATGTGTTGGACTGCTGCCTCTACTTGAAGCGTTGCGTAGAGAAGCTGCCACAGCTACGCTAGCCACGAGGCAAAGAATGGAGCCATGGGTCAAGAACCTTTTGGCGGCTGCTGATGGCGCGAGTTTGATCTGAAATTTGATCAGATTCGAGATTTCAGCTGGCCAACAAGTATTTGAGACAGGTGGCCTTGAAAGGCTTCCGCTTGATTTCGACTTTCCGTGGGATAGGTGACCAATCCAGTGTGGTCACCAGTGTCATCCACGCAATGTACCACACTGGTTGGCTCATGATTCTTGGTGGTACTCATTGACCAAAGAGGCCGTGCCATACCTGGGTGGCTGTTTCCGCCACACCT